CAGGGACCCATCTTGTCTGCCTCCCCAGCACTGGGATTACAAATGTGTGCCACCACTCTTGGCTTTTTCAATTTTTTTTTTCTTAATGTGCATTCTGGGGAAATAACTTAGGTTTTTGTGCTTGCAAGGCAAGCAATATGCATGGCTGAACTCTCTCCCCAGCCCCTAGTTCCTTATATATAAAGTATTTATTGTGATAAGAAGCCTAGAGCATGATGTCTCCCTTCTTAACCTGATTTTAAAGGTGCGCTGCAGAAGTGCTTGCTGTCTGCACATTGCAGTGCAGCGCATCCTTAGAGTCCATTCACCTCACCTCACTGAAATGCACTACACACTGCCAGCAGCTCCCAGTGTCCCTCTCTCACACCCCCGGAAACCACCATTCTAGGATTTGCTCCTGGGAATTTGACCTCTAGCTGTACAGGTCGTAGTTCATTCTTCCATCACACCTAGCATAATGTCTAGATGGTCCATGTTGTAGGCAAGGATAGATTTTCTTCTTCTTTTATCCCAAATAATGTTCTATTGTGTGGCCACAGAACATTTTTTTAGCCACTCAGCTAGCTGTTGGTGGATGTTTAGGTTGTTGCTATCTTTTGGGTATTAAGAATAATGCTGTGATGGATGGAGGAGTGCTAATATTTCCCCTAGATTCTGCTTTGAATTCCAATAAATACCCTGAAATGCAATGGCCTAATCATATAGCATTTTTATTTTAACCCTTTAAGAACTAGCATATTCTTTTCCATGCAGCTGTCCCATGTTATGTTCCCATCAGCACTGCACAAGATAAGCTATTTATGATGAGTTTAATGGTCAACACAATCTAGAATCACAGAGAAAGAAAGTTTAAGATTGTCAAAGATTGTCTAAGAATAAAGCTGCTGTAAACATAGTTGAACAAATGTCCTTGTTGTATGGGTGGAGCATCTTTCTGGTATATGCCCAGGACTGGTATAGCAGGATCTTAAGGTAACACTATTCTCAATTGTCTGAGAGAGTACCAGATTGATTTCCAAAGTGGTTGTATGTTTGTACTTGTACAGCATGGAGGAGGGTTCCCCTTTCTTTATATCTTCACCAGCATGTGCTATCACTTGAGTTTTTGATCTGAACCGTTCTGATCGGTGTGAGATGGAATCACAGAGTTGTTTTGATTTGCATTTCCCTAATGACTGAGGATGTTGTGCATTTTTTTTAAAAATGTTTTTCTGCCCTTCGATATTCCTCTTGAAAATTATGTTTAGTTCTGTACCACATTTTTTAATTGGATTATTTGGTTTGCTGGAGTTTAATTTCTTGAGTTTTTTCTGGAAGCAACCAAAATGTCCCTCAACTGAGGAATGGATACAGAAATTGTGCACATTTACACAGTGGAGTACTGCTCAGCTCTTAAAAACAAGGAAATCATGAAATTTTCAGGCAAATGGATGGAACTAGAAAAGATCATCCTGAGTGAGGTAACCCAGAAGCAGAAAGACATGCAGTGAATCTACTCCCTTATAAATAGATATTAGTCATATAATACAGGGTAACCATACTACAATCCACAGACCTAAGGAAGCTAAGTAACCAGGAGGACTCTAGGGAGGATGCTTAATTCTCATCCAGGAGGGCAAATAGAATAGACACTGGAAGTGGTTGGAAGAGAGGGAACAGGATAGGAGTCTACCATAAATGTCCTCTGAAAGACTCTACCCTGCAAGGGATCAAAGCAGATGCTAAGATACACAGCCAAACCTTGGGCAGAACACTGGGAGTCGTATGGAAGAAGGGAGGGTTAGAAGGACCTGGAGGGTACAGGAGGGTACAAGGAGATGAACAAAGCCAACAATTCTGGTCCCATGGGGGTGTGCAGAGACTGATGTACCAAACAAAGGCCATGAATGAAGAGGACCTTAACCCCCTGCTGAGATGTAGCTGATAGGCAGCTCAGTCTCCCTGTGTGTGCCCTAGTAAAAGGAGCAGGGGCTGTCTCTGACATGGACTCAGTTGCCCATTCTTTGATTATTTCCCTTTGGTATGGGGAGCATTGCCAGGGCAACAAAGGAAGAGAATGCTAGCAGTCCTAATGAGACTTGATAGGCTGGGGTTAGATGGCAGGGGAGGAGGGCAACCCCTTTCTGAGAAATAGGAGAGGGGAATAGAGGGAGGAGAGGGTGAGACCAGGAGGAGACAAAGGAGGGGGCTATAATTGGGATGTAAAGTGAATAATTATAAAAAATAAATTTAAATTAACAACAATAACAACAAAACGCAAAGATTGTGTAAGTCAGGTTAGCCAGTGGGTGTCATGATCACATTGATTAAAATGTGAAGACCTGCCTACTGTGGGTGGCACCATGCCCTAGGAAGGGGATCCTGGGTTGCGTAGGAATGGAGAAAGTAAGCTGAGCACTAGCATGCATGCATTAACTCATTGCTCTTTGCTCTGACTGGGGGTGTTACTAGGTTCTCTCAGCCTCTACCGCTATGACTGACCTGCAGTGATGAACTCTGTCATGAGCCTTGAAGCATGAGCCAAGTAAATCCTTTCTCTTTTAAGTTGTTTTTGTCTGGTATTTTTTTCATAGCAACAAGAAAAAGAACTAAGATAGGTTCCAATTTCTTCTGAACTTCAGCAGCTCTTGTAGATCTGTTTTTTTTTTTTGTTTATTTTTATTAATTACAATTTATTCACTTTGTATCCTCCCCTCCCAATCCTACCCTCCCTTCCCCTTCCCTACCCATGTCCCTCCCCCAGTCCACTGAGAGGGGTGGTCTTCTTTTCCTTCCTTCTGATCCTAGTCTATCAGGTCTCATCAGGAGTAGCTGCATTGTCTTTCTCTGTGGCCTGGTAAGGCTGCTCCCTCATCAGGGGGAGGTGATCAAAGAGCAGGCCAATCAGTTCATGTCAGAGACAGTTCCTGTCCCCATTACTATGGAACCCACTTGGACACTGAACTGCCATAGGCTACCTCTGTGCAGGGGTTCCAGGCCATCTCCATGAGTGGTCCTTGGCTGGAGTATCAGTCTTAGAAAAGACCCCTGTGCCCAAACTTTTTGTATCTGTTGCTCTCCTTGTGGAGCTCCTGTCCTCCCCAGGTCTTACTATCTCCCCCTTCTTTCCTAAGATTCCCTGCACTCTGCCCAAAGTTTGGCTATGAGTTTCATCATCTGCCTCGATATGATGTTCTTTTTTTTAATGGCCATCCTAACAGGTGTGATGCGGTATCTCAGTGTAGCTTTAATTTTACTTTCTTGATGACTAGTGATATTGATTATCCTTTTATATACCTGTCCACCGTTTCCAGTATTTTATACTACAGACAAAAGTCAAGTGAAACTTGGATTAAAGGCTTAGGCTGTTGGAAGAAAACAGGAAATTCTTTATAGTTCTTGGCGATGATTTCTGGAATATGACATAAAAAAGTGTAGGCAACAGTACTATCTTAGTCCATGAAGGGTCAAATAGTAACTACTTCTTGTTGGTAGGCTGCTGGGTTTCTGCTTTCATAGTGTGGAAACAGACACAGCCAATATGGCTGGATGTAGCAGCATCTCAGTAAACCTTTATTTGCAAAAATAGCCTGGGAAGGATTCGGCTTGTAGGCTATTGCTTGATAAAGCCTTTTTGCTCCAGACTTTTGTGCCTGTGTACTGCCGGATGCTGAGCCAGCTCTCCACAGTTGATGCCAGTAACAGCACTCCCACCCATCATGGTGACAAAATGCCAAACGTCCTCTGGCGGACAAAATCACTGTTAGCTGTGACCTTCTTGCCTAGATGACTGAGACAACCTGATAAGGAGTCCAGGAGATGCTTTTCTAAGATTACAGAGTGTGGGGCAAAATAGAAGAGCCTACACACCCGTGGTGTATTTGTCTTAGGTAGGTCAAGGTTGCCTCAAAGGGACCATTATTACCACCTAAATTTGGAAAGGGGTTCAAAAATAGCTGTGGCGGTAACACAGTTGCAAAGTGCTCTGTTAATGATGGAAATATGAGCTTAACCTACTTTCTAGATAGGCACAAGAAGCAAAGCATTGGGCACGCTAGTATGTTCTAATGGGACTCTGAGCTGAGGGCCTTTTGTCAGAAAGGCCAGGCCGTAGGGTAGGGACAACCAGCAATTCTAATTCCCGCTTGTGCAAAGGTTTATTTTTTCTGCTTATCTGAATTCAGAACAAACACAGGCTGAGTGAATTTTGAAAGCACTCACATGGTTCTCATTGTTTGGACGGGGCCAGACAAAAAATGGCCTGGTTTCACTGCAAATTGGCAATAACACATGTTTTTGAAAGTTGGAAACAGCATAATGTCTCATCTCAGAGAATGGTGTCTTCTTGTCTTGTAGAATAAACACCTGTTTTGCAAAATAGAAGCATAAAAGCTGTTTTTATAAAAATTGTTGGGTTTCTTTTCTTTATTCCTATTATTCTCCAGTAGTTAAAAAATTAAGTACAATTTGAAATCGTATAACATATAGATTTGTGTTTTTAAACAAACAAGAAAACAGTATCAAAACAAGCCCACATCCCACCAAAAAATTCAGTTAAACCATTTTGAAATTACTTTCTCTTTGGATTTGGGGGGGGGGAGGGAAAGCTTCCTTTAATATTTTTTTCCACACAAATGCATTTTTCTTGCTAACAAGGGGAAACAGTGCAAATTATCCCTAAAAGGAGCTGTTCATGATCATGTCCTGGAAATGCTGCCACCTCAATGTCTCCTATGACTAGAGCTGATATATTTGGTGACCGACTTCTCCAATGCCAGAACCCTCGGAGTCATATGGGAGAGGCCAGTACGCTTCTGTTCTTGGGGCCATGAGAAAATCCGTGAAGAATTGCGCCTCTCAACAAGTCACATTTCCATGTGCCCCCGAGGACCTGGCTCCTTAAAGCCCTCCTGCCCGGCCCCCTAGCTTCTGCCGACTGCCTGGTTATCCTCTTTTCAGAGCATCAGAATGTAGGATTTTGTGGGGTACACCTGACAACAGCTGTTCCTTTCTGTCCCCAGGTTATCATGGCCTCTACTGTGAGGAAGAATACAATGAGTGCCTGTCTGCTCCGTGCCTGAACGCTGCTACGTGCAGGGACCTCGTCAATGGCTATGAGTGTGTGTGCCTGGCAGAATACAAAGGTGAGCCACTTCTCATGCTTTCTTGGCTCTAAATGGTCATGCCACATGGAGCCCTCAACTTAGTAGGTAGGGCCCCAATTGGAGCACGGATTTGTTTATGATAAAAACCAAATACTGAGGCTGGGATAGTCGATGGGTTCAGGGAAACTCATTTGTAACTCTTAGGCTTCCTCCTGATAGACTGAGAAACCCCTCCCCTGCCTTTTTCTTATATGCATCTCTGTTGAATGCATATAAAGATAGAAACTGAGAGGGTGGTTAAGGCATACTGGCAGAGACAGGCTAAAGGCCATGGCTGGGAACAACAACAACAACAAAAAGCGTGTTGGTCTCCATGGCTTGCTGGGTAAAACAGGACACCCTTGGTGGGAGGTGGTAGAGCCTCATGTATTGGCAAAATGAGTTCTTACTAAACAAGTCAGTTGGGAGGCAAATGTTCATCTGATTAGATGCCTGTTATTGTCACTCTGACAGCTGACATCGATTGGGTAGTTATCGGGTCTGGACCACATGCATGTTCTAAACATGCACGTGCATTCACTCATTGAATCCTGCCAGCAACCTTGCAAGGCAGATGGTGATGTGATCATGAGCTGGCCGGTGTGGGTCAGTTCCTAAGGCCCTTGGCTTCTAGTCATGGTGTACGAATGGCATGGCTTCATGTAAGCCCAGATGCTCACGTTTGAGAGCTACAGCCTGCATCAGCTGGAGCACGAGAGCTGCTCACTATCTCTTGCACTGTTCTCTAAGCCAGAGCACCAGGGCTGGCTTTAGCTTTTTGAGATTCTTCTGTGGCTCCACTTATATCTGATTCCCTTAACCTTTTGACTCCTTTCACTGCTTACTTGACGGCCTCCATCTGCCTCTTCCTGCTTCTCTTTCATGGGCCCTCCTCTATTTTATGATCTTTCTGGAAAGCTTTTAGAACTGGCACACTCGGTGAGGGCTCTGGATGCGAATGTTAAAGCTGGGACAGGTTTTTATACCCAGAATTATCTGCTGTTTCGTTTGGAACAGGATACCCAGTGAAAGCCAAAAAGCATCCACTCTTTCAAATCCACAGGGGCAGATGTGTTGGCTTCTCCTTGTGGCTCTTCAGCTGTGGTCTCTCGGAGCATGGAGGAAAAGGGCAATTCATTTGATTCTGGAAAGAGGAATAAAAGAATAATGAACCTGATGGCCTAATGAACTCATCTTAACCATGCCACAAAGTGCTCAGACAGATTTCTATTTTCTCTGTATAAAGTACAAGCAGTGATGCTTACAGAGATTTTCCTACCCTTCAGTAATAGAGTTGGTACAAGCGGTAGGCTTAAAACAATGGCGACCTCCAATATTCTTTAGTTTATGGAGCAGGTCTCATCATTATAAGTAGCAAAACCATTAAGCAGATGTATCCTGAGTATGTCCTATCTTCGACCTTTAGTTCATACTGTCTTTACTAAGCAAGAAAAATATAGTTGTATGCAAAAGCCTACTGATGTCCCTGAAAATTCAAAGGCTGTGATGTTGACCTTTCCCATGTGATCTCCATTCATTCTCAGCGTAGTTGTCCATATTGTTGCTCTAAAATCACAGCGCGTCTTCAGAAGCCAGCATATCACTGCAAACACACACACCTGGCTCCACCTCTACAGGATAAAAGAAAATGATGATGTGTAAAAATCTTCACAGATAGCCTACCTCCCTTTCCTCTGCTGCGAACTCAAACTCAAGCTCTCAAACTCAAGCTCACATCAGCATCTGCCAGCAGATCTGTTATAGCTCCCTGCACCTTTACAGTTTGTAATTCCAGGCTTAAATTGGGGCCCACGACTTGCGTTTCTGGCACATTCTCGGGAGTGCCTTTGAGAACTCCACCTCATGAGCTTAGCTGGAGCAGCAATTGCTAGAACATTAGTTATTCTGTCCCGTGTTAGCTGCCATGTGCTGATCATCCTGCTTGAGTTCAATGCTTTCCCATGTGCTGGGAGACAGGACCTTCCATCTGTCCAAGAAGCTCCCTCTAATTACCTTGCTCTCAGGGCATCTGCAGTGTTGAGTATACACGTTAAATGTGTTGCCTACTGCAAGAAAGTGTAGGTTATAGAAAGATAGCAGCTGAAGGTCAATTTCAATGTTCTTGATTCCTGGAGGTGAGAAAGTTGTATGAAGATGAGGTTCTCAAAGCATGCTATAGGAGCTGGGAGGTTCAACTTATAGTTGGAAGAGGAGGTTGGATCCCAGGGAGAACTGAGGACTTAGGGAACTGATGACTGAGGGGTGCAAAGGACCCCTGAGTTTGTGGAGTTGAATGGTTGTGCTGTGAACATACCACACGTGACCTCAGGAGGCAGAGTTGTCACCTCAGTTCATAGCTACTGGCTGCTCTTTAAGAGAATTGCACAGTCCAGAGGCGCTAATCCCTTCTTGTGTGGCTGAAGAGAATGGAGTTATCCCAATCACACCAGCAGGCCCGGAGAAATCCAGACTGAGAGGCCTCTCTACTCTAGGCCACAGAAGACAGGACTCAGCTGGCTGCCAATGTAGCATCAATTTTCTGACTTGATGTCCTCCTCCAGCCCCTGCAGGGGAAGGAACCCATACCAACAACTCAACAAAGAAGAAAAACTGAGACTCTAAAGACGCAAGAGGGGAAGTAAAAAGCGATGTGTCATATCATACTCAGAATTGAATTTGAATCTGGAAAGCCAAAGAGTGGAACTGTTTCCCGATAGACATAAAAGTACAAGAAGATGGGAATCATCTGAGGAAAGATAGGAGCTATGGAGAAAAGATCCAAGGGTTCTGGAGGCCGAGACTCCAGAAGGCAAAGAACAGTCAAAGAACAAGGCCAGCACCACAGGGCTCGACCTCAGAGAGCATAAGAAACCTGGCTTGCAAGTGGGATAGATTCAGGGTGCCCAAAGAACATGAGGTGCAATTTGAAATTTCCTGGTAGAAGTTTTAACTCATGGTCCAAGCAGAGCATTATGTAAGGTTTTGCGTGGGTTGTGCAGGTTGCATATAAAACGAAGAGAGTACCGGGAGAGTGGGCATCATGGCAGCCATGTTTGGAATGGTAAAGGACTGGGGGGATCAGAGGACCACCTAAACTTGAGGACAAAGGAAAGATAGTTCAGTCAGTGAAGTGCTTACTTGAGTTCAAGTGCAAGGACCTGAGCTCAGTCTCCAGAATTCACATAGAGACACCTTTAATCCCGGAAGCAGCAACAGCGGCATCTCTTGGGCTCCCAGGCCAGCCAGTCTAGCCTATTTGGTGAATTCCAGGCTAATGAGAGGCCTCACCTCTAAGGAGATGGCTAGTATTTCTGAGGTTGTCCGCTGGTTTCCATAAGCACTTACACACACATGCACACTCACGCTCACATGCCTAGAAGTAAGAAAGCGCCGTACATCCAAGCATTCGGAAACCTTGCCATCACCTATCCTCCTTGGGACTGCGTTTGTAAGAGGCGTCCTCAGGAGACATTTAGATAGTGAAAGGGGAAGAACAGGAGGGATGTGGGAAGACTGATTTAAATGCAGGGAGTGACCCAGATGGATGAGAGCAATGTGACTGTGATAATTTAATGGCGAAGAGAGTCTCTCAAAATAGGTGCAACTGCTACACTAGCTAGCTGCTGCCATACAGACGCTTACAATACACCAGGCTTAGGACATGGCTTTGAATATACCTTAGTCCTGTTCGTCCAGCATGGCTTATGGACTTCCAGGCCCAGAGTCCTTTAGGCCACCTATAAGGAACAGCCTGAGCTCTAAGCTAAGGCTAGAATCCAGAAGGGTAAGTTCGTGAGGACTCTTAGGGCTGGACAGAATTTGTATCTGGCTGTGGAATTCATGACACCTTGCTTCTTCTTTCTTGCTCCAGATTCTCAGTGTCAGTAGAGGCCTGGATCCCCTTAGTGGCCTTTGTGGTCAGGGTGGTCTTGAACTTTAAATGTGTCTTTAAAAGCTCTGAACTTGGGGCTGGAGAGATGGCTCAGAGGTTAAGAGCACTGTCTGCTCTTCCAGAGGTCATGAGTTCAATTCCCAGCAACCACATGGTGGCTCACAACCATCTAAAATGAAATCTGGTGCCCTCTTCTGGCATACTTAAAAAAAAAAACTTGACAGTGGTGGGTCATGCCTTAATCCCAGGAGGCAGAGGTAGGCAGAACCCTGAGTCCAAGCCAGTTCCAGGCCAGTGGAGGCTACACAGAGAAACCCTGTCTCAAAAAAGCCAAATCCAAAAGCTCTGAACTTTCCAATATGCTCTGGAGTAGAAGTTCATGTTTAAGGGGAGGGGATTACATGGGGCATGTCACAGGGACTCATGAGGGGAGGGGATTCAAAGAGCTGAATATGTAATTTTAATTCTATATAATTTTAATCAAATCTCTGTGAGGCTGGGGAGTCACACACATGCATGTTAAAGACCTCTTCCCCAAGAGCAGATAGCACATTAATTATCTTTCTTACTGCTGGAGTAAAATACCTCACAATGTCAGTCCAGGCTTCACCTTCACGGCTTCATACAATAGCCTCTCGGGGCAATCTGGCAGGAAGTCCGACCCTATCGTATATTCCCTGGTGTTAGAGGTTCTCTGAGACTTTGGCCCCAAACTCCATGGATCCCTCAATCTTGCATCATCCATGCCTGTAAAACCAGTGCCATGCGGTTGATGCTGTGGAGTGCTGCCAGCTTAGAATGAAGCCTGGCCCCTTGGACCACAGCACATACACCATCCTTCATAGGCAGTGCAGTTTGAGCAGGGAACCTTCCCTTCAGTGGTATTCAAACTTTAGCCCATGTCTTTCAACCAAATTTGTATTTTCACAAGGGGCAGCTTTCCGTGGGTGGGGGTGAGAGGAGTAAGCAGTGTCCATACCTCCCGTAGCCTGAATACTATCCTACCTTGAAATTTCCTCTGCCCAAGCAAATTAATCCACTAATTTAGAAATTAGTCTCCCTCAAGTCCCCAGCACATAGAAAGAGTGCAGCCAGATTGTTCACCAGA